CTCTCTCTCTCTCTCTCTCTCTCTCTCTCTCTCTCTCTCTCTCTCTCTCTCTCTCTCTCTCTCTCTCTTTCTCCCTCTTTCTCTCTTTCTCTTCATCAAAGAAGCTATTGACAGCATGGCAATTCTGCCGCAAGTAGCTCTGACAGGCTTTATTATTTATTGATACATGTTTATAATCGCAACGATGCAGAGATAACGTGGTAAAATTAATGGAACAAGATACGGTCCAATGGCTGTGTTTAAAACGAAGTGGACAGAAACTTTGCACTGTCGTTAGACGACATATCGCGGTGGCAGGGCTGCAAAATAATTATAGTTGCATTATTATAACGTCACTTGCACTATATTAAACCGATGTCATACATATGCATCGTCTAAGAAGGCCGCATAACATTAAACCGGTGCTCGGTCACAGTCCGCCCTCCTGTCATTCTCGTTTAGTCTTTTATACATATGTGTTCCCGATTGAAAAATTTTTTTAACATCGATGTCTCATAGAGAAAGAGATAAAAATAGAACAAGAGATCATATCGGGCTGCATAAGCATACATTACACATTTACACAATGTATACTTACTACATGTATGAATAATAAAATGACATTATTAATAATCTCGGATATAAAATGAGTCACAGAAATATCTCTCTAGCTAGCGTGAACCTGGGAATCTCTGGCACTGCATGATCTACGAGGAAGTTTCTATTTGCGATCGCTGATAAACGGCCCGATGTCTCGGATTTTTCACAGCGCTCACATATCCCTCGTTAATGGTATCTTCTTTGCGAATGAGCGTGCACTAACGTATAGCACAGACCACCTGTCCGGTTTCTATCCCTCGCTCCTTTCCGCCCGTTTGTTCTCTCTTTCTCTCTCTTTCGTACAGGGCGTCCCATGGGGATACTCGCAGCATGTGTCTGCGATAACTATACCACGTAGGATAGGGAAGCTTTAGGCGCCACAGCAGAGCAGGTTTCCATAAAAATTCGAGCTACCCGATCCGCTGCGACACGGCAGAGTTTAATGTCCCGTGTGACCTACCCTTTCCGAAGCTCGATAGTCCGTTAGATTCACCTAAAGAATCTACAATTTTCTCTCTCCAAGTAGAAAATTCAATATTATATACATGGAAGACACCAAAATTAACAGCGAATTATTTTATATAATTTTTGAAATATGATTTAACACCAAATGTATTCAAAAAAGGCCAACTTATCGAGCAATATTTAAGATGTTGTATCCAATTAAAATTTATTTCATAAACGATATATTAAATTACAAAAAAACCTAATAATATATAAAAACAAAGAAATAATTTACGAGATCCAACATCATAAGATCAGATTACGGCGAATACTTTTATAAATTAAATATGACAAATTGTAACACGCATAAATTTTTAATAAATTCTCGACTCGAATTAACGGACTATTAGTAAGTTTAAGAATAGGATGATCTATTTTTTTATAAGAATTATAAATTACGTAACACTGTTATACTGAGGAAGACCGCGTGCGGTTGAAACGTTTATGGAAGGTTTTTTTTGTAATTTAATATATTGTTTATAAAATAAATTTTAATTGGATACAACATCTCAAATATTGCTCGATAAGTAGGCCTTTTTTGAATACATTTGTTGTTTTATACAATACACGAGCAAATAGAAATTTTAATTGATATGATTTAACACCTTTTCTCTCAATGCAAAATGTGATTTTTGTTTTACGATATCTTTCATTTTTCTATCGCATTATACTTAAGTATCTAGCTTTGGTAAAATATCTCTTATGGGGTTTTCGAGCTCATACAGGGATATGCTAATAAGGAAGGCAGAAAATCAATTATTATTTTACGATCTTATTTCGCATTGCTGTCTCTACGAATAACCCGACTCAATTTCTTCAACATATGCAGTCGCGACGACGACGTATCATTATTACACATCATTACGAGTAATTGTACATGACATAATTTTTTTTCCAAATAATACATGTGAAATGCACGACATAAATAATTATCTATTCACTGCAAGATGTTAGAGCTACAAGATTTTATATACCTGATTTAAAGAAAAAAGCGACTTTTTTGCATCAAATTTGGGACGAAATATATGTACTCTATTTACGTAGCACATTGTTAATTATTTGTTTTCGTTATTGATACTTTTTTTTCGATTATCAATAATTCATTCTCGACGTAATCGCGCGACGTGCATCCTCTATCTTTAACGTACGATGCTACAGAACAGACAAAGAAAAGAAGCTGGAGAGAGAAACGACGAAGCGGGGGAGGGAGAGAAAGGAGAGACCCGTGTAAACGATAAATCACGATAAATACGTTTGCCTGGACCATTATAAAAGGCGGAGGAAGAAGAACGGGGAGGAATCGACGCGCAATCGGCAAGGAGCGAGTCAGAAGAGGAGATATGCACAAAGGGGTGCAGCAACGCGCGGCCCGAGATACAGTCTCCTCCTGGGGCCACTCCTGGATGCATCCTCTTCTGTGGCCGCGCATTACGATCGCTTAAGTCTCGGCTCGACTATCGAGTGATCCATCGCCTACGAATTCGACGAAGCCTCCCGCCTACCCTCGGGACATCGTCGACTAATGAGCGTGTCTCGATCGTGAACGACCAGTCTCTCTCTCTCTCCTCGTTATTCTCTACCTTCTTCTTTTCTGTCTTTCTCTTTCTCCCGCTTGGTCTTTCCTCGACTCACTTCCAGGTGCGCTCCAACGTTCTTTCTTAAAGAGAATTCCAATTAAGAGAACCCGAATGAGTTCGTACGTCCTATTCACGAGCAAGTCCGTCGAGATGTAACGGAGACGACAGGTCGACACGGTGAAATCCTCAGGCATGACCCCCGAGAAACACGATAGGATCGTTGATGAGCGATTATTGAATCTCTCGCGAGGGACATTGCGTTTAAGTAACGAAAAACGCATCGGTGTCCGCGGACAAATCACATTAAAAAAGAATTCGGTGTTGTAACATCGGTAAAACTCGTCACAATGTTCATTAACGTTTGTCTCCTTGGTAATTTCCAGAATGCCAATTATATCCCAGCAAACACCGATATGTAATTGTTACATTGCTATAATAAAACGGAATATAACAGGTAATATAACGTATATGTTACATGTAACATCCATGTTGTAATTTCCCACTCATAGACGTAACATTTTAATATAACATATATTACATTGTAGTTATATTATAATTATATACCAAATAGCACATTGATGTATTGATAAGTCAGTGCTATTTTGGGATATAATGACAATATAACTACAATGTAATATATGTAATATTAAAAATGTTACATCTATGAGTGGGAAATTACAACTAACATATACGTTACATGTAATATGCTTAAGTATATAACATTTATATACTGTCAGATAGAAAATATTTTTGTCGGCTCACAATATTAAATAATAATAATATATGATATTTTAAATCGGTCAATAGAGCCCAAGCGCGAAAAATTAATTATTCGGAACTGTATCTCTTGGTTTGAGATTACTAAGTTCCATATATAAATTAATACTGCTATATAATAAATTTTCTCCATATGTAAAGTTCGAGATTAATTTATATATATGGAACCTAGTAATCTCAAACCAAGAGATACAGTTCCGAAAATTAATTTTTCGCGCTTGGGCTCTTAATTGGCTCGATTTAAAATATCATATATTATTATTATTTATATACTGTGTTTGCTGGGATCGTTCCTAAAATATGATCGGGGTCTATCGAGTAACATTATTCCGCATTTACGTCATCGATACGCGCCATCGAGACGCAGATTCCACGACGCGACTTTACTGCGTGATGTTTATCTTGGCTAGGTGGGAAAGTGTGGTAGTTTCAGTACATTCCTGTTTGTTCACCTATGCCACCGATGCGTGGTCAGTGCGTGGCGAGGCGAGGCGATGGAAGATAGGGAGAAGGAAAGAGACGGAAGAACGGGCAAGCAGATATCGGGCCCCGCAGGGGGCTCATAATTGCCGACCCTGAAGATCGGTCGACCACATGGGGCCCTCCTCTGTTTGTTTTATTCCCTAGTTATACAAACGCGAGATCTACGACCGATATATGATAATCGTCCTTCTAGTTCTTTCAGTTCGTTTCTCTCTTTTCATTTTTCCTGTTTTTTTTTATTTCGGGTTTATCTTCTTGTTTTTTTTAATTGTGCAAGGTTCACGAATATAGGATGCCTTATAAACACTGATAGACAGGGACACGTCCGAACTAATTCTAACCGGAATCTACCTCCACCACTGATGCTGTAGAAGCTTTCGCCACGTCTCATCATTTACGACGCACATTTATTCAAATTCTACGACGGCCGAAATGATTGATACTCTTCGTTATGAGCGGCTACCTCAGGCTCTCGCGTTCGTCAGTTTAAGAAAGAGGAGCATAAAATATTATCTCAAACATTTAATATGTAAATAATGTGCTTCGTTATTACCACATACATTTTTAAATTGTAGATATACAGTGTTAATGTATGTACTCTGATAAACACATCCTGATACATCGCGATAGAAGATAGAAAAATTGAAAGAAAAGATAAAATGGCGAAGAAAAAAAGATAATTGGCATAATTTCAAAATAATTTATGTAAATCATGAAAATTGTGCGTAACAGTTCTTTATCAATCTTATATCATTTTATAAACATTACTCTCTTTAATATAATATTTTACTGTTAGCCCTTTCTTGCTTGACCTTTCATTTTTCATTGAAAAAAAACAATCTTATCATTATGAAAAGCAATAACTATATTTCAAAAAGATAGCACCGCAAATGTATCAAGTTGCCCCAATTCCATTTTAATGAAAAACAAAGTAAGAAGAAAAACAAGGTAAAAGCAATTAATTATCGTAGACTACATAAACAACACGTGTCATACAGAAATGTATATCAAGTAATGCGTGTATGTGTATGTGTGTACGTGTGTGTTTACAAATATGTCTCTTTTAACTCAAGTACTTACCTCACTGTCGATTTTCTTGAACTCCGGATCGTCCTCGTCCACTTCGAAATACAGCTCTGTAGATGTAACGGAAATGATTCCAGGCGCCACGATACCGGGTGCGATTAATCTGCCTTTCGTGCTGATGTTCACCGGACCTGTGATAAAACATGAACAGTTAAATTGACGCACGCGAATAACAATGCAGTAAATAATATACTTGCAAATGCGTGTGTGTAATTATTTGTATTTAATTATAAAAATTCTTTGTTTTGAACTCATGCATCTTGCAAATAATCAATAACATGCTATTTTCGTAATATAGGAATTAAAATAACAAATAATAATTGACGACCGATCTTTAAATAAAAAAAATTCAATGGAAAAATAGCAACAAAAATCGAAAATTATGAAATAAAACCGGTCTGCCTAGCCCGGTGATATGCCATTAAAATGTCGCTCCTCGTTTATCAGAAAACGGTATATACGTTGACCAACCTGTCAAGTCGTTGTCGAGATCCCTGTCGTCCGACAGCAATTCACTGTCATCTAAGAGATCCGCCGACTGCAATTGCTGCTGGTGTGCACGCGAGGCTGCGAGATGCGCGTGAAATTCTTCACGTGCCTGCAATATCGCATCCTCGGGTGCACCGTGTTCTAGAGCCGCCTTGAGAGTAGCCTCGGGGTGGCTCGAGCCTAGTGGATTGTGCACGAAACGCTTGCGTCTACGTGCATCATCCTCCCAAGCATCCAGTTTCCAGTACTCGGCCAATCTGTGGACAGCAAAAATACGCAACGCATGTGGCAAACAATCGTATAATTACGAGATGAGACTTAAAATAAGGTTTAGATTTGCATTTACTTTGCAGCCATTGGATCCATGTAGCCCCATGCGCCGTGCTTATTGGACAAGATATTGCGAACTTTCTCCAGCAATCTGCTGGCGATTACGTTATCGCGTCTTCGTGCTGCGGTAATCAAATGATCGCACATACGCTCTTCCTCTCGACGGTCCAGTAACGTCTGCGCGCACTGAGACTAAAACCACAAAAAAACCATGTTATTATTTTGTCTAACATTTTTTAATATAATCAATCAAGTGTGTAATTATGCAAGAGGATGATTGTTGGATCTATATACGGTGCATTGGCGAACTCGCGCGAATCTTCAGGCAACAAAAACTGGTTGGATCTATTTACAGTGAAATAAAGTCGAGGGAGAAGAAATGCAGTACCTCAAAGTCAGCATGCTTCAGCACGTCATCCGCTCTCATCCTGTTTAAAATAAACTCTGCCTCGTTTGCGACTCTTACGATGTGATCCTTCATAGCGTGAGATAGCAATCTGTGTAAACGCAAGGAAGCATTTTCATGAAGGGAAACGAGAAGAGTTTGATTTCGTTTTGTTTGCACGCGTTCTAGCGGTAATAAACGTTTTACCTTCCCTCGTTAATGAGCTCGATGAAAGCGAGACCCGCGTGCTTCTGCAGGGAGTTCTGCCATTCCTGGGAGCAGAGGAGCATGACCAATTCCACCACGGAGTTGCTGTTCTTAAATGTAGTCAAACCTAGACAAATTCGAAATTGGAATCTTTTCAATCGAATAAACGATAAATGGCAAACATAAATAACACTAAGACAGTGAAAAAAGCTGATGGAGAAAATGTACAATGTCGTGATTTACAAAAGATCGTCGGATGTATCGAGCCTTGTTAAAAATAAAGTGCATTCGATACGTTGTGGAACTATCAAATGCCACGTTTCTTGAATATAAAATCTGCGAGAGTCATCGTGGCTTTCTACATGTTGAATACTAATGGTGAACGATAACTCAGAATACGCTGGACATCTTCCTAAAGTGAAATCATAAAATGACTAATTTGAATACTCGGTGTGAGATGGCAAGAATACTTCAACCATAAAAAGTGACAAAAATTTCGTCAAATATGCCCATCTGTGAGCGAATTCTAAATTTTAATTTATCCACGCAAACATATTCAAATGTATAATTTTAAATATTTTACACGACGCGCGATAGTTAAATTCTTATCTTTATGATCTTTTTATCTTAATGAGTACATAATACATCGATTACGAAGAGATTCTCCTATATTTTTTAAATATTTTTGCAGGCACGCGCGTTTATGATTCGAATAATATTTTGTTCAAACTTACGCATACCTCATCAAAAATGATAATTACATTAAATAATCAACAACAATGTAAAAGACGAGAATAAAATTTTATTAAATTATGTTATATATTTTTGGGGGATTAATATTTTATACCGCAATAAAACGTGTAAAAAAAAATTAAAAAGAAATATATAACTTTATTTAACATGTCGGAAAATACTGTATCTGGTTGAAATTTAATTTCCTTTACGATTCCTTTTTTATCCGTGGGCGTGATATATCTCGGGATCGCTTAGAAAACAGGCCATGTTACGACTGTGTTCCCCGTATAATAAAATCTAACGTAAAGTATGTCTTTTATTTATCGAGCTTCGGACACATTCTATATTGTACACGCATAAAACTCCGAACGTGTTTCCTTTTGATTTAATTTTACAAGCGCGTGTAATAATATCCCCGTATTATTACGATGCAATTTATTGAAACGCTGTTTCAAAATCACCAAATTTGAAAAATAATTGTTTTATTTTTGTTTACTCGGGATAGAGATGTCTTCTCAGTAGATTCATATACGATACAACATGCACACACCGAACATGTAGAAAGATGACCTATACTTTCGACATACCCTTGCAGCTCGTACCTTTTCCTTCCATTAATAATTCTTGACCATGGGAGCCAACGAGTGTTTTGGACAGGAAGGGGGCAAAATCCACCATGATCTCTCGTAGGAGAGGACAAACCGAACCCAGAGCCATTTCCAACTTTTGTGTGAGCGAAGCCTCGCGGGAAGGTGTCGGTACCGGCAAATGATCGACCAGACCCTTGATAGGTAACTCTTCGGCTCTCGGGGATGCTGCGGTCACCACCAGTCGATCGGGAACTCGAACCACCGAGATTTCCGCCGACGGTTTTTCGCCCCGTTCCGCGTTGCCGAGCATTTCTTGTTCCAGAACGTTGCCCTCGCTGTCTTGCATGTCACCTGTGAATTTGACAACGCGTATGTTTGGACTCTTATACGTAACGAATTAATAACCCAGCAAATACAGTATATAAATGTTATATACTTAAGCATGTTACATGTAACGTATATGTTAGTTGTAATTTCCCACTCATAGATGTAACATTTTTAATATTACATATATTACATTGTAGTTATATTGTCATTATATCCCAAGATAGCACTGACTTATCAATATACCAATGTGCTATTTGGTATATAATTACAATATAACTACAATGTAATATATGTTATATTAAAATGTTACATCTATGAGTGGAAAATTACAACTAACATGGATGTTACATGTAACGTACACGTTATATTACCTGTTTTATTCCGTTTTATTATAGCAATGTAACAATTATATATCGGTGTTTGCTGGGAATGATTCATTTAATAGGTTCATTTGTTAATTGCAAGTGATGACGCTACGCATTCATTCAATTCTTACCACGCGAATGAGCGATATTGTGAATATTTCGCGGGTCTTCTCTTGGATTCGTGATCGGCATCGTATCGCCGTCTTCATTGAGGTTTACGTCTGTCCAAGCTTCTTCGGACGAATTGTGCTTGTTCTCATTATCGGTAGTAATTTCAGAAGGACTCGCGTCCGCGGTGATATTGCTGCGATGTACTGTCTCTTCGCTGGAATCGTTGCTCTAAGAGAAAGACGATCAAAGAAAAACGTGAAGCATCGAAGTTTTGACATCCACTTCGATTCAACCGACCATGAACCGTTAAAAGAATATTAGGGGATTTTAAGTAGAAAATATTAATTGAGAGAAATACATAGAATTGCAATAAATTATCCTTTGTCAAATATATGATAACGTTTAAGATCTTTTTTACTTATCGCGTTCTGTTAAATTTTATTGGATTTCAAAGAATCTTCCTTAATATTAATTATTGTTTAAAACTATTCAAATATACTTTCAGGTCTAGAAATACTAGCACTACGGTACTGAAGTCTTTTACTAACGAAAATCTAACTATATATTTTTATAAAAACGTTTTAGGATATATAGTTTCATACAACGTTCATACTTTATAATAAACTCTCGCGTGCCATGTACTTACTTCATTACATGCAATCAGTAATATACCATTACTACGCAATCAACTAATGTATCATAGAAAGAAAGAACCAAGCCTATTATTCAGAAGTAAGCTTCAATAGCAGAATCAGTGATCCTACGCAGATTAGGATTAAATAGTTGTACACGTATAAGAGCCCGCTACATATTACATTTTATAATAACGTTACGTGTAAGCATCGAAAAAGGATGACAAATCAAGTCAAGTGTATCGCTCTCTCTTTCTGATACCCGTCAAATTTGGGCATTGTTGCGTATCTTCTCACATTCTTTTACGACGTAAAATTGCAGAGAGAATTTAAGAAAAAAATTGAAAATACTAAATTTCTTTTTAATCGCTGCCCAAAATACGGCCGGTCGTGTGGTCGATACGTAACACTCGAGAGGAAATGAAATTCCCGTCTCCGGACTCTGTACTCAAATCAAATTTTACCTGCAGATTTCGTGGCAGTGGTTCGGACCTTGTAGAAGTGCCAAGCGTTGGTTCTGATGAGGTGTAATCCTCGAGAATAGTCCGCGGCCGAGGTACACCACTGTGACCTCCCTTCAGAACCAGTAGTTAGTACGCATAGCAATGCAAGCAGAGGAAGTTAACAATGAGAGAAATTCGAGAAGTCAAAGTATCGCATGCTCGATAGGATTTATAATACAGATAAATACGTGATACGAACGTTCTCGGTGATGCGAGTGTGCGCTCGAAATTCGCGGTTTCGATAAACTCGCTCGAAATCTCAAAATTTATAGTAAGATATATAGATTACGTGCGAGAGAGATAGTTACGAGAGATCGTAAATTAATAGAACGGTTGTTACTTTGGGACTACGTAGATGCAAGACACCAATTGATAAGTGAACACTACATGCTGGATACGTTGCAAGAAATCTTTAGCTACGACAGATCTCGATAAAATGAAATCTCGTTTCATTTAATAAATCAATTAACAACTAATAATTCCATTAATTCAGGATTAATTTGCAAGAAATTATATTTAAGGCTCAAATAGTTAAGAACACTTTAGAATCGAATGGTTGATAATCAAGATTATATTAAATAAAATTGTGCCAATGTGAAATTAACATTTAATTATAAAAGAATATCTATCGATTTATCTTATCGAGTTTTAATTTGTGTGAATCTAATGTAACTACCTTTCAACTGATCTATTATATAGTATATATCAAACAATTTGGGATAAAAACATAACTCATCGCGTGACGAAATTAATTGCATGTGATAAAAAACTAATGCAAAGCATTGTGCGATAGCACAAATCTCGTCATTACTGTGGTGAATTATCCCGTAAGATGGTAATTGAAAAAGTGCTTATTTAAGTCTCGTTGCTATATCACTTGAAACTAAAGAAAGATACTTAGGACAGTATTGAAAGAAATGAACGTTCAATTTATAAACGTTATAGAAAGACCCGCACTCGCTATTTAGAGCTGTGTAAAGCGACAGATTGAAACATCTCGTGTCTACGTTTTCGATCTATCGAAATGCATGCAGTCTCAAGTAAAATCATTAATCATAGAGCCTCGTAGAGCCGAATACTGTTTTAAGTCAATCAGTTTATGCTGTCACTATATATTGAATTGAGTTACTTGAAACGGAATTTACAAGACCTTTTTTACCTGAGATTTTCGGTTCTATAATTCTCGCTGTACACTTCTTTCGAATTTCTTTGGTAGAGGACAATTGTCTGTCGCATTTTTTCAGATCGTATCGAAATTTCGAATAAGTTGCGAGGTTTTCGCGATGCTAGGTCTTACCTTGGTCGATGGCGGACCTGACGATGTAACATCGTGATCGGCCAGAATCGAAGAATTATTCTCGTCGACGATAATGACTTCGTATTCTCCATCGTCTTGAGAACCCGATTGACTCATTATACCTCCGCTACCTGAAAACACGGGAATAAGATGTGATATTAAAAATCGAAAAATATATAAACAATTCTTCCTTATTTGCAAAACCATTGATATTCATACACATGCGTTCAATAATTTCAACAGAGCATAATATTTTTTTGTATGCACATTTTGTGTATAAAATAATATTATCTTGTCTAGAATTCGCAATTCATTTATGTAAAACATGTATACGAAATGTACAAGATTAGTAAACTGTAATATTTATGTACAAATATAAATAACAAAAAAATAAAATAAAATACTATTACATACATCGATTTACATACATAGATGTTACATGGAGATACAAACAGAGATACGTATTAAAATTACTTGCAAATTAAATCATAAAATTAATATTTATAAATTCTGGTTTTTTAAACGATTTGAGAATAAGGAGAGCACATTTTAATATCGCGTTAAATGTATTCTTAAGAATACAGATTTATTGGTAATAAAAAAATGCTTCATTTTCAATATAGCCAGTGTACCTTAAATTTTGAATCACACACATCAATCGAAAAATATATAAAACAAAAAATATAATCAAAAATAAAATAATTATACAAAAATAAAATTTGTTTTATATACATAATAGGAACTGACAACTACTACAGCAAATTATTTTTTTAATAATCGTGTATTTATTCGCATAATTAATTATTCATTAACTTGTAGAAAATAATATTTTTGTATATATTCATGCGTCTTTATTAATAATAAATAAATAAATAAATAAATAAATAATAGATACAATATTTCTCACAATAAAAATGCATATTTAAAGTACATGCTGCTAGGCGTTTATAATTTTTTTCACAATAATAATTCAAGAAAACTCTTTGCTTGTGCAACACATGCAGTGTGTATCTCTCATGATTAACTAAACGGTATAAATAAATGTCATTATTTTTAATAATAATATAATAAAAATAGTCAATCAACTAGACATTAAATACATATATATATATATATATATATATATATATATATATGACTAAAGGAAAATCTTTCCCTGAAATAAAAAATCAATTAATTAACCAAATTTTTATTTTAATCATTTAGAGAGAGTATATACTTTTCTTAAAACAATTTAAACAAGTTCATAATATATAAAAGGGATCCGAAACGTTTATATAACATCGAGAAAACATCGAGGAAATTGCGCATGGAGGTGTCTGTACCGATAAGCGTCATGCAGATTGCAATTCAGCGAACAAACAGGAATTGCGCAATAAATCAGGCCAATAAAACTCGGGCATTATGTGAAACAACTTTCGGGCTTTCAAGTTACCTTGCAGACCGACACCGGAGTTTCTATGACAGAGATTTCGGGGCTGATCGATATGCTTTTGAAGCGTATGGTGATGGTTGTTGTTATTGTGATGATGATAGTGGTGATGACGATGATAGTTATGGTTATTCGGATGATGGTTGTAGTGATTATTATGGTGATTCGGGAGATAATAGTTAGAGGGTGGCTGGCGATTAGAGTGCCTGGCAGCCGGTAGCGGGTGCTGGTGATGGTGCTGGTTGATGTGGTGATTGGCATTGACATTCGCATTGGCGTTAGGGTGAGATCCTGGGAGGAACTGTGGATACACGTGGTGAGACCACTGTGGAAATAGGGGCCGACCTTCTCCACCACCATTCCCATCTGCCGAGGAACCACATTTACCACGTTATCGGATCGTGTGCACTATCATCTTTATCTCTTGCGCTATCCAGCGTATTCTTGATACTGCCTTTCACTCTATGCACTCGATGTGTAAAATCAAGATCGAGCAGATACAATCACGATCAGCTTTTGACAATTTATACAATTATGCCATTGTGAATTGTGTCAGCAGTTTGTAAAAAGATGTCTTGTAAAAAATTATTAGCATTATATCGAATGTTAAGCGCTTCTTATATCAGAAAAATTTAAACATAATATCAATATAAATATGCAATTAAATTATTTTTTTAGAAAAATTCTTTCTGCAAAATATAACACAAATGTTTAGAATGTTTTATAATATATTATAAACATAAGTTATAAAAACAGCATAAAAAACTTTTTCTATTTTATAAATTTATAGATCAAGAAAAATACTTTCAAAAAATTTTTAATTTATTTCATCAAATCATAGAGTGAAATTCAGTAAATTAATTTTGATTATATTAAATATGTATCATCTTGTAAGTTTTCAAATAATTAATAATGTTTTTTTAATTTGTTCCATGTAGATTTTAATAAGCAAAAATTAATATAATAGCAGAAGTAATAAGAAAATATCAACCCTTGTAATATATTATATTATCAATATAATATTTAATAAGCGTGGAGTATAACATTCTAAAAGAACTTATTTTTTCTCACTCATAAATATACATATATATATAGATATATATATATATATATATATATATATATGTCCAGCGTATATTTTGGGACACCCTATTTTTTCAATTGCAAACCATATTAAATAAACTCCCAAACTCTGCATAATTGTCATTTTTGAAAATAAAACAATATTTTGGATATTAAAGCATTTTTTATACTCAACGTTTACTTTGAGGGCTCATAAATGAAATGTATATTTCGAGGACATGCTCTCATATGTTCAGCGTATATTTCGAGGACATGTCCTCATATGTCCAGCGTATATTTTGGGACACCCTATTTTTTCAATTGCAAACCATATTAGATAAACTCCCAAAGTTTAGATAATTGTCATTTTTAAAAATAAAACAATATTTTGGGTGTTAAAGCATTTTTTATACTCAACGTTTACTTTGAGGGCTCATAAATGAAATGTATATTTCGAGGACATGCTCTCATATGTTCAGCGTATATTTCGAGGACATGTCCTCATATGTCCAGCGTATATTTTGGGACACCCTATTTTTTCAATTGCAAACCATATTAGATAAACTCCCAAAGTTTAGATAATTGTCATTTTTAAAAATAAAACAATATTTTGGGTGTTAAAGCATTTTTTATACTCAACGTTTACTCTGAGGACTCATAAATGAAATGTATATTTCGAGAACATGTCCTCGAATTATACTTTAAATATATTATTCAGCGGTGTCTCGAAATAATACATTCATTTATGTAGTTTATATATTGTGAGTTTACTTCGAGGTCATCTTTTATATAATTTATTTACTCTGAGAACTCAAATGAAATGTATATTTCGAGGACATGTCTTCGAATTATACTTTAAATATATTATTTAGCGGTGTCCCGAAATAATACAACTGCCCGACTCGCGTTAAGATACACGGTGTCTCGTCGGCTACGCCCTTAACTGGTCGTGAGACACTACCGTGTCTCTTGATTCATTTATGTAGTTTATATATTGTGAACTTACTTCGAGGTCATCTTTTATTATAATTTATCTGGTCCGTTCCGTATACTTTGAAGACTTGTAAAATATAATTAGAAACTATACTTTAGAGAGATCAAATATGATGTAAAATTTATAGTTTGAATACATATACGTAGTTTTTGAAAATTTCAAATCTTTTTAACTACCTGACGTGCCAATTGATCAGTGCAGGATGTAATATGCACATATATAAGAAAGAGAGTGTGTGTGTGAAAAGAATCGAGGCCTTTTAATGTTCGTATCCATTTAATTTTACGACTTTCAATCGGTACAGACTTTTCCTTCGGTCGCACGTCCGCACGCGATAACTGACGGGGGCCGAATCTCTCGAACCCGCGCTATCTATTCTCTTCCTGCCCGTTCCTACGACCTTCGAGAATCTTCTCGACTCATCCTTTTTAATTTCGCTTGTGTTATTGTTTTCGAGTCTCGATTATCGTCTTTGTCTCCCCGTCTTGTCCGTTGTGTCTTTTCACTTGTTTATTTTGTCTCGCGTCTCGCTTTTCCTTTCGTCCCGCGTAAGTTTCGCATATATGTAAACTGGGGAATATGTGACGATATAATCGCCACACCTTAATAAAATGTATTTTTCTAGGATATAAGAAGCCTTCAAATTATACTTTTAATATATTATTTGGCAATTAAAATAAGGTGTCCCGAAATAATACTTTCAAATTTTACATAGTTTATATAATCAGAATACACAATATTTACATTTAACTCAGAGTTGGGACCGTCACTCTGAAAAAGTAACACATTACTGTTACAATTACTTATTGTAAAAAGTAACTTATTACCGTTATTCGTTATTAATTTTAAAAAGTAACGCGTTACCGTTATTATTACTTAGAAAGTAACGATTCGTTATTTTTTCGTTACTTTTTGTTACGTTTTCATTTTTTGTAATGCTAAAAAGTAAGCTATTGGATTTTAAAATTCTCTTACTTAATAATCTATATTAAATATAATAATATATGTTACAATTAAAAACTCTGAATTAGTCTTTGGCAAATGTATATAGCATATATAGTAAGATAATAAGGAATTAAAAAGTAACTAACCACTAATTCGTTACCGTTACTATAAAAATGTAACGACGTCTTATATCGTTACCGTGACAAACAAATAAATTTGTAATAATTATTAATTAAGTTATTAATTAAAATATTTAAGCGAATAAGCGAGTGGAAAGCGATAGACCGAAATCGGTGAGCATGTAGGGCTTATTTGTTTACGTCGCTTAATAACAAAAGTATCATCTTACTTTTCGGCGCGGCGGCATTGCTCGCCGCTCGCTGCATGACTCTGCCTCTCGATCAGATAATGCTTTTGTTACTAAAAGACGTAAATAAATAAGTCATCGTACATGCCCACCGATTCTGGCCTACCGCTTTCTACCCACTCATTCGCTAGATATTTTTATTAATAACTCAATAATTATTGCAAGTTTAGCGAAATGATACAGGACTTTTCTATTCAGTTTAACATGCTGTACCCGTTCACGAAAGATAGTTCGCGAATTATGGGATACCCTGTATATTTACGTTTCTCATCCGAAATTACTCGTTGACGCACGAATTTCGTGTTGCCTTCCTGCAATTTCTGTCCTTTTTATTAAGGTCTTAAAATTTCGTATATCTAACAATAAATTTGTATATTGTATATGGTCGATTAAGAAATTAAGCACATGAAACAACGCCGAATACTCGAGCCTCGAGCAATACACGGAATTATTCTTTTTCTTTTCAGCGGTCCGTTCTGTTTTCTCTATCAGTCTCATGTACATGTCCTACATATCTCATCCCCATCTCTCTCTCTCTCTCTCTCTCTCTCTCTCTCTCTCTCTCTCTCTCTAATGACAATTGAGATAAAATTCTTTATAACTTTAAAGACGTAAGAAACATTTATAAAGTATAATTTGAAGCCAGAAAATATAATAACTAAAATATAATTTGGAAATTATTTTTAACTAGATTTATACTTGTTTCTACGTATACTTTGGGAACAATGAGAATTTTCGGACATTTATAGAAAACTAATTCGATTTATATAACTTTAGAAACAAGTTAGATATATATTATTTATTTTATTTAGGAACATTTATATATTAAAATATTACATGTAAAAGAGTATATATCTTTTATATATGAACATTTGTAGGACTAAAAATGTCCTCCGTTTTGTACTTTTGCAATAAGTAAGGAGAAATTAATTTAAGAAGTCGGATTGATAATTGTAGAAATTAATTTAATTTCATAAATCTTATTATTATATATTATACAAGGTGTTCCAGATCAATCGTTTTATTTGTCATAGAAATAGAACGGGTTAAACTAGGTCAAAAATAGAACGATTGACGGTCAATTATCAATTTTCTATTATAATCGGAGAAAACATTAACATATTGAATATCGAGCTGAGTGCTTTTTCCATTGCTTCACTGTGCGCTTTGTATCAAGGTAGTAAACGGTTTCTTTTCGCTGTACGCTTTTATTCGCGCGGATAGACCGACTTCTTAAATTAATTTCTCCTTACTTATTGCAAAAGTACAAAACGGAGGACATTTTTAGTCCTACAAATGTTCATATATAAAAGATATATACTCTTTTACATGTAATATTTTAATATATAAATGTTCCTAAATAAAATAAATAATATATATCTAACTTGTTTCTAAAGTTATATAAATCGAATTAGTTTTCTATAAATGTCCGAAAATTCTCATTGTTCCCAAAGTATACGTAGAAACAAGTATAAATCTAGTTAAAAATAATTTCCAAATTATATTTTAGTTATTATATTTTCTGGCTTCAAATTATACTTTATAAATGTTTCTTACGTCTTTAAAGTTATAAAGAATTTTATCTCAATTGTCATTAGAGAGAGAGAGAGAGAGAGAGAGAGAGAGAGAGAGAGAGAGAGATGGGGATGAGATATGTAGGACATGTACATGAGACTGATAGAGAAAACAGAACGGACCGCTGAAAAGAAAAAGAATAATTCCGTGTATTGCTCGAGGCTCGAGTATTCGGCGTTGTTTCATGTGCTTAATTTCTTAATCGACCATATACAATATACAAATTTATTGTTAGATATACGAAATTTTAAGACCTTAATAAAAAGGACAGAAATTGCAGGAAGGCAACACGAAATTCGTGCGTCAACGAGTAATTTCGGATGAGAAACGTAAATATACAGGGTATCCCATAATTCGCGAACTATCTTTCGTGAACGGGTACAGCATGTTAAACTGAATAGAAAAGTCCTGTATCATTTCGCTAAACTTGCAATAATTATTGAGTTATTAATAAAAATATCTAGCGAATGAGTGGGTAGAAAGCGGTAGGCCAGAATCGGTGGGCATGTACGATGACTTATTTATTTACGTCTTTTAGTAACAAAAGCATTATCTGATCGAGAGGCAGAGTCATGCAGCGAGCGGCGAGCAATGCCGCCGCGCCGAAAAGTAAGATGATACTTTTGTTATTAAGCGACGTAAACAAATAAGCCCTACATGCTCACCGATTTCGGTCTATCGCTTTCCACTCGCTTATTCGCTTAAATATTTTAATTAATAACTTAATTAATAATTATTACAAATTTATTTGTTTGTCACGGTAACGATATAAGACGTCGTTACATTTTTATAGTAACGGTAACGAATTAGTGGTTAGTTACTTTTTAATTCCTTATTATCTTACTATATATGCTATATACATTTGCCAAAGACTAATTCAGAGTTTTTAATTGTAACATATATTATTATATTTAATATAGATTATTAAGTAAGAGAATTTTAAAATCCAATAGCTTACTTTTTAGCATTACAAAAAATGAAAACGTAACAAAAAGTAACGAAAAAATAACGAATCGTTACTTTCTAAGTAATAATAACGGTAACGCGTTACTTTTTAAAATTAATAACGAATAACGGTAATAAGTTACTTTTTACAATAAGTAATTGTAACAGTAATGTGTTACTTTTTCAGAGTGACGGTCCCAACTCTGAGTTAAATGTAAATATTGTGTATTCTGATTATATAAACTATGTAAAATTTGAAAGTATTATTTCGGGACACCTTATTTTAATTGCCAAATAATATATTAAAAGTATAATTTGAAGGCTTCTTATATCCTAGAAAAATACATTTTATTAAGGTGTGGCGATTATATCGTCACATATTCCCCAGTTTACATATATGCGAAACTTACGCGGGACGAAAGGAAAAGCGAGACGCGAGACAAAATAAACAAGTGAAAAGACACAACGGACAAGACGGGGAGACAAAGACGATAATCGAGACTCGAAAACAATAACACAAGCGAAATTAAAAAGGATGAGTCGAGAAGATTCTCGAAGGTCGTAGGAACGGGCAGGAAGAGAATAGATAGCGCGGGTTCGAGAGATTCGGCCCCCGTCAGTTATCGCGTGCGGACGTGCGACCGAAGGAAAAGTCTGTACCGATTGAAAGTCGTAAAATTAAATGGATACGAACATTAAAAGGCCTCGATTCTTTTCACACACACACTCTCTTTCTTATATATGTGCATATTACATCCTGCACTGATCAATTGGCACGTCAGGTAGTTAAAAAGATTTGAAATTTTCAAAAACTACGTATATGTATTCAAACTATAAATTTTACATCATATTTGATCTCTCTAAAGTATAGTTTCTAATTATATTTTACAAGTCTTCAAAGTATACGGAACGGACCAGATAAATTATAATAAAAGATGACCTCGAAGTAAGTTCACAATATATAAACTACATAAATGAATCAAGAGACACGGTAGTGTCTCACGACCAGTTAAGGGCGTAGCCGACGAGACACCGTGTATCTTAACGCGAGTCGGGCAGTTGTATTATTTCGGGACACCGCTAAATAATATATTTAAAGTATAATTCGAAGACATGTCCTCGAAATATACATTTCATTTGAGTTCTCAGAGTAAATAAATTATATAAAAGATGACCTCGAAGTAAACTCACAATATATAAACTACATAAATGAATGTATTATTTCGAGACACCGCTGAATAATATATTTAAAGTATAATTCGAGGACATGTTCTCGAAATATACATTTCATTTATGAGTCCTCAGAGTAAACGTTGAGTATAAAAAATGCTTTAACACCCAAAATATTGTTTTATTTTTAAAAATGACAATTATCTAAACTTTGGGAGTTTATCTAATATGGTTTGCAATTGAAAAAATAGGGTGTCCCAAAATATACGCTGGACATATGAGGACATGTCCTCGAAATATACGCTGAACATATGAGAGCATGTCCTCGAAATATACATTTCATTTATGAGCCCTCAAAGTAAACGTTGAGTATAAAAAATGCTTTAATATCCAAAATATTGTTTTATTTTCAAAAATGACAATTATGCAGAGTTTGGGAATTTATCTAATATAGTTTGCAATTAAAAAAAGAGTGTCCCAAAATATACGCTGGACATATGGGAGATTGTCCCCAAACCATACGTTTGATATGTGATTAGTTTGAGGCCTGTCCCCAAAGTATACAAATGTCCTCAAAGTATGCATACGCTTGAAATTCTGTCCCCGTTATATGCGCACGACATATATATATATATATATGTATATATATGATACAATTTATTAATTTTTTAAACATCTAAATATTAATCATATAACAGCAGTTATATATAGAGACATATATTTTTTTAAATGTCCCACATAAAAGAAGTTCCACATCCACGAAAATACAACCACAATGATATAACAATAGTATATTTATAACGCAAAAAAAGTGCAAACACATTCGGCAAACATCAAAACTCTCACTGTCAGATACATATAAGATATTTATTTCATACAGTGCAATAACACATGCGTTCTACTTGTGTCATGTGCTGTTGTTTTAGTTGCAGCTACATCGTTTTGGTGCACAGTGTTCAACACAATAGCTACATATTTGTACATATAAGCTATTTATACCATTCATATTTCATTCATTTATAATGTTTTATTATAACTTAGAATTTCTTTAGTCAGCTGTAAAACTAAATAATGACATATAATAATTTTCTAGCAATGTACGAATGTAATTTTAAAATTTCAAAGAAGACAATTCTATGTTTTATCTAATTGTAAGTATATATAACTATGTTTTTATAAGATACATTTCTCTTTTACATGTATAGCTGCAGACATGCTAATAATATCGAAAACAATAATGTTCACCAATGAATTGAATTCGTACGTTACAATTTCTAAAAAAAAGATAAGAGAATATATATCTGACACGTAAGAGTTTTGAGTAAACAGAAAATTTCCTAAAAATTTTCAATTCTTTTAAAGATACTATTTCCTCTTTGCATAAATGTTTAACGTGCAAATCATAATAATATATAAATTTGCATCTATAAAGATTATTTTATTTTAATCTTTAATAATTTTTTCGTTATATAACTAGTTATTTAATAAGCATAATTAAAGGTCGAGTTGTTATTAAATATAATTTTTTAAAAATTATAGTATAAAAGCATATACATGCTAACAAAATAACATATTATTGTATTACTCTTCTCTCTCTTTCTCTCCCTCTTTCTCTCCCTCTCTTTTTCTCCCTCTCTTTTTCTCTTTCTCTGTTTTTCTCTCCATTATTTTTTGTATTATAATTTATAAGTTCTTTGCAGAGTGCATATACTCTCAATAATAGGCCTTGTAATAGAATCTGTTAAAACTACGGCGAAAATAATAATTTCGCAAATATGAGTACCTTATAAAAATAATTTATAAATTATAACATAACATTTAATTATTCTCGTTTTGCATGTGAGATTTCATCAAGAATAAATTTAACTTTGACGAATCTTTTCCGTAATAATATTTATATCGATTATTTCTTTTTACCTTAGAATTAATAATGTTAATAAAATATGAAGATCTCACCTGAAGGACTACCTGGCCTGAGACCGGCACCATTTGTCTGTATCGTTTGCACTGGACTCGGTGGACGCTGTGATATTGGTGGTTCCAATATATCGCGATATTTGGAAACCATTAATACAGAGATGAAGTAAACTATAGCAAGAGACAGAAACTGTGCCTGCTTGGTTTCTTCCTGAAATTGATATAAATAATTTAATTTTTTTTATCTTATATATATTATATATATATATATAATCATTTTTTTATTTATATTGTTACAATAAAATTTCAAATACTCACAACATCTCTGTATATTACAGCTCTCAAGCGATTTACATCCATATCTTGCAACAATTTCTCGGGATCCTTCACAGGGCTTAATTGATGCGTAAGATTATCCACGATGTTCTATAAATATTAAAGATTTTTTAATATAATATTTAATATATTAGAAAGTGTGGAGCTACACAAATAAAACAATTTTTCTTTAGCGAATAAAAATTGGTGTTTTAAGCAATAAAAATGTAATATGGTGTTTATTATCCCTATTACAGTATTGCAGTCGTTAAAATAAGTTTGATCGGATGAAACGTACCTTAGGCGATGTTTGAGCTCCGCGTATAAGCGATTGTATGTGCTGTGATTTATTACTAGAACCAATTTGCCGACCTAACATGCTGTACGATCTGCCACGTTCTTTACACTCTAAGCAGTTTCTAACGGCACATGTACAGACCTATAGAAGCAGTTTATTAGGTAAATATAATAAGAGATGTTATGTGGCTGAACACATTAAATCTTTTAACTAGAATATATTTTGAATCTAACAATACGAACATAGATTAGAATTATCTCCTACACATGACATTTCGAAAACTATGAAATGTATCACACTACATATTTATTACATTATTATATTTAATATCGAGGATTTACTTATCAATTTTTCATCTAAATCTATCACATATACAAATAAATAAAATATTTAATTTGATTTAAATTGTGGTTCAACTCTCTATCTATAAAATATTATAATTATTTTTATCAAGTTTTATATTGTAGTTTTATATCAATTTTGGAAATTGTTTTATTTGCATGTAAAATTGAGTATGCAAGTTCTTACTTTATATAACATATCTTGTATTTTCAAAGTGTATTAGTTGTACTGTATAGTTTTGTGCATGCCATCTCTATTCTCACTAAAATAAAAATAAATAAAAATGAACACAAACTATACTATATATTACAACTTACATTTTGATTCGTGTATTACAATAAATTATTTATATATTTAAGTAATTTTTGTATAGTTTTCGTATTTTTTTAAATTCAAAAATACGACATAGATAATACGACATCGTATAAAGCAGAACTAAAAAAATAAGTTTTATATCGACATAATAATTCTTTGTTCTATAATTCTTTAAAATTTTCTAAACTCTTAATTTTCTTTCTAGAACAAACCTTTTGTATGTTATACAAAATTCTATAATTCCATCAATGCAAAAATTAAACATAAATATGCACTAAATATTAAGTGTATCTTCCTAAATAGATCCACACCAATAATTTGTAAAAAATTGTAGATTTATAAATTGCATAATAATAAAAAAATCAAAACTATTTATCTATTCTAAACATTCGTATTATTATTTCGTTCTGAAACCACAAAAAATACCTTACATATAATAATACAAACCAGTCGTAAGCATTGTCGTAGTATGCCACCACTCGACATATTTTTCTCAGCTTCCAGTTCTCCAAAGTTTAATGAACTAGCAAATATAAGAACATCGGCCATGTTGACTAATCTTTGCAAAAAAGAAACTGCCACCTCGATTGGCATCCCCTGAGTTGGCTCGATTACATCCAATTCGCTCTAAAAGTATAGATGTTGATATAGAGATATAGGAATAGTGATAGAGAAATATACATAGAGATATTATATAATAAACAATAGAAATAAAAAATAGAAATTAAATCTTAAAATTTTTTTAATGCATTTGCAATAATAATTTACATACATTCGGCGAGGTGGCCGACGCTAATAAGGGCAACAAACCACCGCAAGCTATTATGAGATTGTCGGCTAACTGCGAAATTAGATGGACAGTATTCACCACGAAAATAGCATTTTCGCTGCTGTTCACGAAATCCAATACAGACTTCGTCGAGTGACTACAATGCAGAGATTAACGTAGAATTTCGACAAAGTTAAAACATTACGTTAGTATGCAGTATTGTATTTCGTACCTTCTCCACACTTGAATGTCCGTTTCCAAGGAGAATAGAACGTCCGACAATAGCCGTTGATGTATGTAAGACCATTTAAATTCCGGTATTCTGAATGGAGGTCGCGTCGGACCTGGACTGAACATTGGTCGCGTGGAAGGATTTCCTTGCTTCGACCTTTTGGCTTCTGCAGAAGAATACGAAGTAAAATTTTAAAAAATGCATATTTATTCTAAATTGTAAAGCATAATTAGTATATCAATTGTGTAACGCACCGAAATGATTTGGATCCACCTGCGTGGACGTTGAGGCACTCCTTGGTCGTTTCTGGGGCGACGATGTCTTTCGTAAGGGCACAGGCAAGGAGGGTGGCTCATGACTGTTATCGTCCGCGACCGTTTCCGAGGATACGATCGGCAGGCTGGATCTGCGATGGGCGTCTACGTGATCTGGAGGTAAGTCATTCAATAACGCATTGTCTCTGGCAACCACATTAGAACTAACGATTTGAGGCACACCGTCGGATAAACTTTTAGTTGCATCACAGACCGTAGATATTGTTGGGATTTGCTGCTTAGGATTTGGCACTTGCGTCACATTATCTACAGAACTTTGAACATCGCTATTACTACAAACACTATCTGTTACTTCTACCTCGCCGGTCGTCGCCGGAACGTCTGACTTATTATCACTTACGCTAGTAGAAATAGTGGACGGCTCCCTTGAGTGTTCCTCATTTACCTTCGCGTTTTCGCTATCATTAATAACAGCACTTTTGTCCTCCGTTAAAGAATCCACGACACGTTCGTCACTACTTAACGCACTATTCACTACTACTGCTTCCGTCTTCTCGTCTTCTAGATCTACCGTCTTCTCCGCGCAAGTCTCGCCGCTTTCTACTACGCTAGTTGAGCAATTAAGATTTTTTACGGTCTCCCCTTCGTCGCTCTCAACAGTCTCAGCGGTAATGTCCCTGTCTTCGGAATCATCCTTCTTCTCGATTATATCATCGTCGACTTTCTCACCTTCAGACGTTCTGCTTCTCACCTCGCTCGAGATCTCCTGATTCTCGGTTGGCGTTAAATATGCTTCTGATGTATCGCTGTCGATAATCTCACGATCGTTCTCCAGTTGAAGTTTTTCAATAACTTTAACTGTCAATGCTTCTCGTGTTTCGTCAGAAGGGACAATTGGCACAGTATCTTTCTCGGTGTCGACGTCGGTCTTTGAATCAACAGAGTTTTCATCTGCGTTCTCGACTGTCGTCGTAGTTTTATCGGAATCTTCAGTGTTAGTCGGTGTATTACTGTCGTCGCTCACGACGTTATTTTCCTCGACAGGTTTATCCTGTATTTCCTTGTCCGTTACGGAGGTAATTTCGACTTTATCCGCTACTGTAGAAGCTGTATCTGAGACATTGGTAACTTCCGCAGTTTCCGTTGTGTCTTTCGATTCGACAACTGTCACTTCCGTGGTCTCCTTAATCTGTTCGGTCGAAGGGGATTCGGTAACAGCAACTGGTTGCTTTTCCGAAGCTGTGTCTTCTTCTTTCTTCGGTATATCCTGGACAATCATCGAATCAGGACTGGAACTCTCGATTTTATGTACTTCACTGTAAAAATCGCTGGAACTCTCAATCGATATCACCTCGCTGGTCTCTTGCGTGGTCGGCAGCGAGACAGCTTCGCTATTCGCTTCCTCGAGGATGGTCGGCGTTTCTGTGTGAGTCTCGCGCGCGGTGGTCGGCGTTTCCGGTTTATCGCTTAATCTAGAATCCAATGACACCACCTCGCACGATTGTAGAGTATCCAGAGTCTCGCTGCGCGATTTCACGATGGCTGGACTACCGTCGCTTTCGGTGTTGTCTATTGAATTGAGGTCGCAACTGCAGGATTCCTCCAATCGATCATTTGCCTCGGTTCCATCGAACTCCTGCATCATAATGCAAGAAATGAGAATTGTTTAATATGTCATCCTTCTGCATACATCAATTTTATAATAATAAAAGAAAATTGAGATAATACAATTATACATATAATCAAAATTTTGAAAAATAAAGAAATGATTATCAGAATTAGTGAAAGTTTTACGAGTATTGAAACTACCTTGTAATTCCGTTCCATGTGTTGTATCTCGTGATTTTGTTGATTTCCCCACACGGCTGGTCTGTTATAGCCGTTACTTCCGGAATGCTGTTGATCCCATCCAGAAATCGTGCTAATCGGCCTCTGCTGTCTTAATTCAGGATCCGTAATATTATCGGATCTTTGTCGCTCGTAATGTTCGTACATTTGAGCAAACTGAAGTTTGAATTCTTCGTAGGATACCTGCATAAACAATAGCGTAAGAGAACATTAAAGCATTTCAAGCTAATCATATCTCAAAAACTTACCTTAGAATGCACAATAGCTAACGTGTCAACCCATACACGCCAGCCTCCGTATTCGTGTTTAATAGCGTGATGAAGAAGCATGCGAAATAAGGAATACACCATGTCGGATATCTTCTGTTCTTCCGTATTTTTGGGATGAATATAAGCCATGGCGATAAGCCATTCCTGCCATACAGACATTTGCAAAACCGTTCGCCGATTTTCTCGATTATTGTTGCACAGCAGCGTCATGTCCGAGAGGAATAATTTTTTCACTTCTAGCAATTGTTCCGTTTGCTTTGATTGTCGAACCAATGTCGCGACCACCTTCAGGATCACTAAAACGTAAAGGATTTTGTCAACAGATTAATACGGAGAAAATATTTTTTCCTACTTTTTTTACACGATTATAAATCAATTACATACTCGGATTCTCTAAACGATAGTGGGATTCAGGTTCAGGATGTCTAGCATACAATATTTGTTGGCTAATGTGCTCGGTCATAATCTGAAATTAAAATTAAAATAAAAATTTTATATAAAATATAGATGCTTTTTTAATTAAAAAAAAATGTTATGAGTGAATACCTCGTATAAAACGTTATATGTCGGCAATGAAAGCGTTTCCTCGTTCAATAAGAGTCTTTCAGCCAATAACGTATACAGATTATGCGGGCTCATAACATCGTATTTCCTTCTGTGTGCATTATATAAGAATATTAAATTTCTTAAACAATGTATTTCAATCGTAAATATAAATAATCTATCAAATTGTTTACTTGTGTGTGCTGCGGCTGAGGAAAAATCCTAGCAGTTTCAACGCTTGTAGACGTATCAGCTGGCTTTCAGCTGCTAGAAGTTTGAAAATGGTTCGTACGCCTTGTTTCGCGTCAAATGCGGGTACCATCGATGACGGATGTTCCGACATCAAAGATATGAGCATTTGTAAAACGTCGTGCAAATTTTCATCCTAAAAATTTTGTCACAAAATTTGAGAAACATCCTTTTTATTATTATTATTATTTTGCATAATTATTCTTTATAAAATTACCTCGTGCATTGTTGTCAGATAATTAAGAATACTTTGTAATTCGTCGTCTTTCACCCCGTTACCGATCATTATCAATTGTTTCAAAAATAATAAGATATAAGAACGAATTGTAAGAATGTCTTTCTGTTGCGGACGCGGTCCATCTACGGAAAATTGATTAATATAAAATGTGTATTTTTCTATTAGCATTAGGAATAAAATAAGCATCGCCGATATTATTTAATCAGATACAATATAAAAACGTACCAAGTCCTTTTGGTGTTATTCCACTCTTTGCTCGAGGATTAGCCACCCAGTAATAATATTTTAGTGTGTGTACCGTTTGTAAAACTGTCGACACACGTCTCACATTGGAATATATTTGCGTGTCGCTAAGAAACTCTGTGGCCAGGTACGAGTAAAGCCGTGTTTGTACTGGCGCTGGCGTATATATCCATAGAGCAGGATTAAAAAGAACATGATCCAGTAGCTGCCATGTTAGGAATGAAAAATAAAACAACTACATCACCATGGATCTGCCTGTTCTTCGGACACACCAATCTAGCCGACTTTTATTGTATCTCTGTACCTTACGCTATTAGCTTGATATTTTAATCTATGTAATTTAACGCGATTAAGTTGCCCAAGGTATTGATCCAGATGATAAATAAAACGTTATTTTAGATGCGCGTGTATATTTTTGCACAAAAGTTTTTACGACATTTTTTATTCTAAATTATTATTTTCAACTTTAATAATCTGTGTAAATATGTATATGAGTATAAGAGATATCAAAAATATATTTGAGTACTTGTATACGTTTTAATTGTAACTGTATGGAGAAGTAAAAAACACAGACATAAATTATTAAGCTTACGATTGAAAGCAATATGCAGATGGCATTTCTGTCACATAACAACAACAATTATATGAGTAATAGATAATAAGAATCATGGTTGAGATGAATATAGAACATCACGAGTGCAGGTAGATGTTCGTGCATATATATATATATATATATATATATATATATATTTCTCATTTCGTTTAATGTAACCAAATATATTATAATCACGCGCGCGAAGCGAAGTATATATTATTCTTTGATAATAAAATCTTAAAAAATGCAACACAAAAATTATTATTGCAATCAATTGCATAAAAAATATATTAATTGCAATGCACAAAAATTCAATATTTAAATCTTTAGCAGAAAATGCAAACACAAAAAATTGAATTTTCTACAACAATCTTTTAATTAAAATATATTTACGCTTTCATTAGGCTCGCACGCTTTCATACGTTTGCTACGCTGCACGTCTGGCGCAAGATTGATCCCTACCACTGATCGCAAGAGAAGATGCGCTAGTCTAATGAAAGCGCAGGTATTTTGATCGAAAAATTCTTGTTGGAAATTGTATTTTTTGTTCGCATTTTCTGATTTAAATATTGAATTGTATATTGCATAATTAATAAATATATTTTTGTACGTGCATTGCAATAATTTTATGCGTGCATTTAATTTGTTAATATAATATTTTATTATGAAAGAATAATATAACTTTGCTTCATGCGTGTATATCTATTTAGATTAAACAAAATGAGAAAATAAATAAATAAATATATATATATATATATATTTTATTTTTTTAAAGAGATTGTGATCTCGGATGAAATTTTGAGGAATTATTAAAAAACATTTTAGGGCTGTATAATGCATACATGGACTTGTACACATATTTTGGAAGTTGGATAATTCCGTTAAATTCACATAATTAATAATGTTATTATCTTGTAGAAAAAGTGCATGGAAAAAATACATGAATTTTATAATATATTTATATTAATTTGCAAACACAAGTTATATAAATATGTATTAAACATGTGGTTGGTATTTGAAACATAAAATTAATGTTGAAAAACGTATGACAATCAAAAGTAATATGTCGTGTAACAGGAATTTAATAAATAGTGCATATTTGAAGATAGGGAAATGCATAATCAATTTTATGATAGCACAAGAAATAGATGAAAATTCTTAGCGTCGCAAAATAAGAATTATAAATTTTGAAATAAAAGCGACATATTATGAACAAAATATTTTATGTAGCCACTTTTTCAAATTAGAAAGCTGAAAAGTCGGTAGATTGCATGCTATCCGAAGTTTGATTAATATATAATAAATAACGGTCGAAGAAGATGAATGGGCATGCTCAACAGGCTTGTTGATAATTTATGAACAGAGTATCGGGGGATACAAAACAAAATGCATATTAAACACGTAGATTATTACGGATGTATAGGATGTCTACATTTCAGTAAGAGTGTAATGAAAGCATGGAAGCTATTACATAACATAGCATAGACAAAATAAATTAATAGATTAGAATGCAATAATTATTGATTTATATCTATTGGCTTTTAATCCATGCTTTTATAAAATAAATATAATCCATGCTCTTTGTTTAAATAAAATATAGATATATAAAGTTAACAAAAATTACATAAAAATTAAAAATATAGCTAACTATGCATGGATGAAGATTTATTTTAAAGCACGCAGAAATCAACTAATCCTTAAATAAAGATGTATTGTGGACATTTATTTTATGTGATGATCCTATTTAAATAAAATGACTGTTCGGATACGACTAAATAACATAATATTTTCTAGTCTCCGAACAATAATTAATGTTCCTTCTCTATAATATTTCTGAATAATTTTTTATTTGATTTTCTAATCTACGTAGAAAATGTTTTTTATAATCTACTTTTTATATCACGCATACTTTCTCTTTAATCTTTCTGAATCTATATGTATAAGCACTTTATATTATCTCTAACTAAGATTTGTTAATAGGAAAATAAAAACATTTATCAAAATTATATTTAAAAAATTTAATATATCCTTATATGTATTTTCGAATTAATATAAGCAAAGATAAGATGCTATTATCTCAACTATATATAAACTATATATCTGTATTATTCTATATATTCGTCTATTATCAACTACATTTATCGAAATATGTACATTAATACATTTGACAGAAGATAATAATTTATTAATCAATATGTCGGTACCTGTTTCAATAATAGATCGCTGTTTGCGCTGAGACACGTCACTAAATGTTTCGTGAGCTCCAGGAAGGATGCAAGAACTTCCGTCGTAAGATGATCTCGACTCGCTTTCTGTAGCATGAAACTTATTACTAGAAATCCCCTGTTTTGTACCATGTGTTGTTGAACCGTTTGAGAACTCTCTACCAAGTCACAAATAAAGCCGAGTAATTTTGAACTGAAAAGTAAGATCGACATTACTCGTTAATGCCTTTTGTTCAAATACATAGTTTCTTGAAGCGACAACGATTAATTACGAAACTTACCATAACGTAGGATCGCGTTTAACGTCATTCGGTGCTATGCAGTCATAAGGCATATCCAGCTGTGAGAATAATGGGAACAATACTTGAATACCACCTATCGAATTTAGCGTACTGTGAATCGAGTGTGTTATGACTGCCTTGACATCCTGAAAGTCGAAATAATAATTTTTGTGTGCTATATTTAGAATTTAGTCTACATGTATCGTTCACAATCACAGAAAGTAAAGCCGCATAAATTATTCAATAAATAAAAAAACGCATGTAACTGCATATATGATCTGAACGCTAAATCTATCTCTATACTCAAAATTGGAAATAATAGTAATAAACTATACCTGTAACATTAGAGCATGTGGTGTATGTACAAAATAGGAGACGTTGCCTTTCGGTGCACTCTGTAGACAAAGCTGCGAATCTGTTGCTACTGGATTGTACATGAACACAATTGCATTCGACAATTTTCCATCGTAAAGTACCTGAAATGTTACGTAGAAAATAAAAAATTAATATAATTTTAAAACTTTCTAAACATTTCTAAGATATTACATCATATTGTAAATATTTTACAAAATATTACATCAATAACTACTAAATCAGTTCGATCTCTTAGCAACATATAAACATCTCTCAAATTTCTCTAACTACACAAAAGACACGTACATATCTTGCTTCAAACTAATAATCGATACTGCTGATTATATATTATTGCTACTTACTACCAATTCATACTTATAAAATCAGATCGTATAAGAAAATTTATACGGTATATATAAAGTTAAAGCAATGTTTACAACAAAAAGATAGGTTTTTTTTTTTTACAAAAATGGCATTCGCTGATTAGGGAAGACAAGCATTTAGCAACGAAAACAAATATTATGCACAAATATATACATTAATAAAATACCAGGCAACAAGGTTCATGATTATAATACCGGTTCTTTCAAGTCCAAATAATGTAAAACAAAATATAATAAACTCAGTCGTAATAGTCGGCAAGAAAATGTGGTCGTAATTGAGTAATTACCTCAGGTGAACTCGAACGCAGTAACAGAATAATTAACAAAGTACAAATCATATGTTAACGAGAAAATAAAATTAAAATGCTTACAATTTGCATACTTTGGTCCACCATGCTCGTAGAGAGATCCTGCTCACTCACCCTTTTATGATTGTCGGGCAGATTCAGGTAGCACTCGTTGTCGAAACGAAACTGGCTCTGTGTGCATGGATCGAAAAAAAAACGGCGATAAAATTCGTTCATAAATATATAATACATGTTCGTGATTGAAGATTTATACAAGTGCATATCTGGCGTCCTAAATATATTCATCGCCTAGCGACAATACATAAATATATCTAGCTACCTTATATCCCGGCCCTAGTCTATGCATCGCACATATCTGATGCGTCGTCAGCGCTTCGCTGAATAAGTATATTGCACTCATTTGTCCGCAAAACACGCGCTCCTCGTCCAATTCGGGAGTTGCTCCGATGTAGCACTTATCGAAAGGCTGTAAAACAAGATTTTTCTTCCTTTCAAATCGGCGAGAGAGGAATACCGAATACTCGGGAGGACCGAAAATATTTGGCACTCACGTCATTTGTCGAAACATGCCATGTCATTTCTGTACTCGACGCCAACTGACCATTGACCAGACATTTGATTTCACTCTTCGTCCATCTATTGTATATATACACTACCGCGATCATATACCACTGCAAAATAAAAAATTTAGAGGATAGAAACATTTTTCTCGTCTCAAACGTGCTAAATATATATATTTATATGCAGCTTTTAGAAATTAATTTAATAGAGCTATTGTTCACCTTTCGTGGTTGAAATTCGTATTTGACACAATGTTGGAAGCCCTTGCCTTTTATTTTCATAGACGTCAGGACTAAGCAGTTGCCTACGAAATGTGCAGAGTATCCTACTCCTTTGCTTGTTTTAAAACTAAAATATATAATGAAAAAACATTATATGTATTATTTTCCTTGCTTGTTGGAACTATTTTACTTTTACTTTCTCTCATTGTTCTTGCATCTTTTTTTAAATACAAAACAACATTAATGTAACAAGATAGCAAAAATGATGTATAAACATGGATAAATTATTTTCAAGCAAAATTGAAGGAAAACATGAGATAATTTTAAAAAATGTCAATTTTCTTTGAAATTATATGTAAACAGAATCGTACTTAATGAATTCAGTAGTTGGTAAGAGCAGTCGCCCGGAAAGTGAAAGACGCGGGTTCGATTCTCGCTTCAGCGACTTTTCGGACCTATATTTTTCTCGCCTATTTTTCTCCATATGTAAGTTCGAGATTAATTTATATATGGAACTTAGTAATCTCAAACCAAGAGATACAGTTCCGAATAATTAATTTTTCGCGCTTAGGCTCTATTGGCCGATTTAAAATTCATGTATTATTATTATTAATAATATTGAGAGCCGACATATATTTCTTATCTGATTTTAATGAATTCAGTTTGAATTTCTGTTTTCTTAAAACTCGAGAAACAGGTGATTTGTTAAGATTACTTGCTTCCATCTGGAGAGAGTACTTGTGCAAGGGTGCTTGATGTAAGAGCACTTACCAGTAGAGGTACGGTTTTTCTCGTTCGATATTAACAGAGTTGATAGGATCTAGGCGGAACCATGTGGTGAAGGTAAATCCGTTCTCATGTGGCCACTTTGCAAGAGGCGGCAAGACAATCGCCTGCGGCAAACGTGAAACAATTGTCATCAGATTGTAAAAAAATTGTTTCTGCCAAATATATATCGAAAAATTAAATAAATGTCATCGCTTCAATAATTTCCAATTTTTGATGATTATTAATTTGTACTGTGTCGTTTCTAGTTCGACGATATACAATTTTATATAGAAATAATAAAAATAAATAAATCTATATAAATGTATATTAAAAGTATGCTATACAAACAATATGTTTTAACTTCAGTTTTAATTTCTAAGTCTCTTCTTTCCATAATATATAAAAAATATTAAATGCATACATTATATCATATATCTTCTATTAAAATGTTATAATGTATGTATATTATATAAAATGAATAATGTATATAAAATATAAAGAGCAGAATTATAACAATATTTCTATGCTCAATGCCGGTTTTATATATTTTATTACATATTTATCTTTTCAAAGAGTGGTTGATTTCAATAAAACACAGAAAAGGGAAAGAAAGGAGATGAATTACTATTACATTATAATTACGTTATTATAATAATGATATTATTAATAATAAATCTATATTGTTATTTAAATTGAAAAACATTTGTGGGGATATTGTATGTAACAAGCGTATATTACTTGATCGAATATGCAGTAATGATGTTCAGGAAAGTTCCTTGTCGTGATTGATTTCGAAAATGTAAGCTGGCAGCGGAATCTTGCGGGAAAGGGTAAATTCTCTTATCGGAACTTTGATCGAGTTTAAAATCGAACGACGTCCTTTGGGATGTCGTAAAGTAAGAAGTATCTGTCCTAAGGTAAAGGCGAACAAGAAAAGAAACCAACTTACCGATCCCTTCCTACCGGGGAAACTGAAAAATACATCGGGCCCATTTCGCTGTGGCATCTGGCGCAGGACATTTAACAATTTCGCCGAATGCCGTGGCTATACGAAATATATAAATGTTATTTTACGGTAATCTTATCGTATTTGATATATTGACGTAATGTACTTAATATATTTTTGCAATAATATTCAACCCAATTTTTTTCATTATACAATTTTTTTGCAAAAACAGTTTTAAAATTTCTTACCCACTTTCCTTTGACAGCTTTCATAGCGCCGAACAAAAGTTTTAATTCTTTCACCGTTATACTGTAGCTTGCTAGCACTCCCAGCATATCGATTAATAAATCTGTTATAATACACAAAATTATATTTAAAAATATATATTTTATATTATTAAAAAATATACTTAAATAAAAGTAGCAAAACTTTCTTTTCATAATGATATGTAATTAGTATTGTACGTAGAATGCAGAAATCTCTGTTATAATAGCTTTGTCATGCTCTGAGAAACTAAACCATTTTAGCTGCTTATCAGCGATTATATGATGTCAAACTTAACTTGAAGTATATACTTACCGGCGACAACAGTTTCCGCACGAGATAATCGATGCAGAACATGTTCTATGAGACTCACATCCGTACACGCTTGTAAGTTTCTGACACTTTTTCTCAGGATTGCGATAAAGACGCTCCATATCTCGGCCTGCAACAAAAATGTCATATAAAAATTATTTATTTGCATTTATGAACTAATAATTAATAACATAAAATTGTATCAAAATTATATGTATATATATAACTTTGAAAATGGAAAATAATATTTTACATTCCTTCTGTGGTCATAACTTTTGTAATAATAGAAAAAATTTAATATTGAAAACTTTTTCGGTTTGCTATATATTATGAAATATTATAACATGAAAATGAGTTTAAAATTTCTAAAGTTACAGATCAGTGAATATAATGTATGTTTTGTCCGCGAATAAGCTATATAATTACTAATTTAGCTGAAATGGAATTTCATTGTGCATAATTGCGTTATCATCGTAAATCGCCTGCTAAAGTCATATAATGGCCAGATAATAGCAGAATTAATTAAAAGGATATTGCGTACTTATTAGCATTCGCTTATTTGTACAAAAAATTGCTTTTATTTAACGTTAATCAATTTTGTTAGTATTAACTTCTATTTCTCTTTTATTGTAATCATATTATTTATAATTTAAATAAAAATTATATTATATTATTTATAAAAATTATATATGCTTGCGGGTGCGTAAAAAATTATATTTGATTTATATAAAATTAATTGAACAGTATTTTTACGTTATTTAGAAAAATTTTATGAGAAAATTAATTTATTTCTACTGTTTCCGATATATGCAGTAATTGAAAAAAATTACAGCAGCAATCTTTCAATTACTTATATATATAACTATACAATTTTACTCTTCCAGCTACACATTCAATTAAAATAAATGGAAATTTATTTAATTTAAATTTATAATATTTTATTTTAACGTTTTATATATAGGAACATTTTCCATTAATATTTAAATGTATTATTGTATATTCTTATAACATCACTTTATATCGTTTATTTGATTAGATTCAATTAATCGAATTATATAAATAGAAAATCGAGTTATATCTTTGTTACATAGATAATGACTTGTCAATTATATCCAAGCAAAAACTACCTGAAGGGTTTCTCCAAACCCAGTAAAGTGGTAGCGGTTTTACGCCCGAAGCGAATAAAGGATGGCTTAATAAAACCGCATACTCATCCCGTTAAGAAAAAGTTAATGCTCTAAAGAGGTTTTTTCTAAGCAATCGCGAATAATTCACTTGGACATTTCAAAACAAGACAAAGATTCTCTCACGAAAAGTGTTATTTAATACGGTCAAATAACCGCGATTCTCATTTATATACATATATGTATATGCACAAATAGAAACGCTGGAGAACGATAAGTCCAAAAAGCCGCAGATTATATTAGTAAAATGAACCGCTAACTATTTCAATATACGGACAACGTATATTCGAAATGTTTCTACGGCCTACACTCAACTTCTAATGGTTTTGCAACAGTTTATCTCGAAATTATTATACTTCTCTGAGTATAGGGGCGGACGACCGCACAGTATACCGACACCGAACGCAGTTCGTCTACCCGCGTAATCCCTTGCTGATATGCAAGGTAGGCCACGAAGCGAGATAACTACGGGTGCAGGGCAACCGCCGAATAGCGGAGAAATCCCGAAAATGCCGCTGAAATTCCTCCAGTCGGAATTTCGGCCCCGCGAACTGGAGTTTTAGCGAGGAGAAGTTATGGGCATTCGGATAATTTCAGAGTAATGATCTCGCGGCTATACACCTTGTCGGCTTTACTACATCGGAGTTGCGGATGAATCCGTCGGAGCGCGGATAAAAAAAAAAAAAAAAGAGCGACAGAGGAAGAAGAAAGGGATGGGGGATGAGAGAGAGAGAGTCGTCCTGAGTAATGTCGTGGAAACTTTCAACTGTCGCTCGACGGTGATAAATTGCCTTGAATCGCGAGAGCAGTAGTTAGTCAAGTTGATCTTCGGAGCTGAGTAAGTGGGTATCTCTCTCGTCTCCGCGCTAAAGAATGCTGCTTATCTGTCCTCTTGGATGTTGCATTTCGAGACAGTGCTGCGAACATTTTCCTTTAGTACAATATTAATGTCGGCTTTGCAACGCCATTTTATTCGGAGGATACATCCAGGAAAAGTGTATTTTCACTGACAACTCGCGAGTCGCGTGATGATACTTCAATTATGCATTTTTATATTCAATATATGCATTTTTATATTCAACAACATTTACAAGTCGCGATCGATAGAAATATATACAATAGTTATAATTTTTCTCTCTCAAAATAATATAACTCTCGGCACAATCAACGAGTCCGGCATTGTTGCGGTGAATATCTGACAGCTGGCGAATTAACAGCAACCGTTATTCCGCTGTACGTTAATATTATTGTTATTAATTCGTAGTGCATGTGCATGTCGACCATTTCGTGATATAACGGATACGCGAACATTGTACAACGTAGGGAATTGTGGGCACAATGCGTTAATACGCCGACGTATACATATACATAGTTGCTTTGACGAATCACCAGACGCAGCGTTAAAATAAATGCGCCTTCTCGCTTGTCATTTTTTATGCAGACGTTGATTGGTTGGCTTTCGTCTCTCTTTCTCTCTTCACTATACGGTAATGAAATGATAAATGACTAGTCGTGCGAACTGATACACGATTTGTCCGCCTATATGCTCGGAAAAGTCTGCCGGGCGCTAAAGTGTGATAGATGTGAGAAAAGAAAACATTTAATTTATGCTGCGTGATGCTGTTGGATAATGACACGTTTGAAAAAATATGAGCTATGTGTGGGTATTACTAGTACAAATATTTGAAATGAAACATGAAGTTTGTAAACTTGCCTGTTAATATACACAAATTTGTTAGAAGACTTAGAATTGAAAATATATTAATTTTATTTACGTAGCAATTGTAATCTATATATCCTGTTATACATTATTGTTTATATATGATACGGTCATACTTTTTTATATACACGTTTGTTTTTAACAATTTAATAACACACGTTCACATATTTTTCCGAAAAAGAATCAGTGTAAAAATAAATGGCAATAACAGCAAAAATAATATTTTAATTTGAACAACACATCGTCTAAATAGCAAACATTGTGTAATAAATTCAATGTTGAAATTGTTCGCGTACATTCCCCGGGTAAAACATATTTTGACGTAGGAAATGCCAAAAATTTAATTATTTAACCTTCTGTTTAATTTTGCAATAAAAGAAAAGTGAGCTGTTACGATATAAATTGATTTTATTCATTGACTTTATTCGTGATTGCACGCAATATGATTATTGTGATTTTTTTCAAAATTATATACTTTAATAATTAATTCTTTGAAATCTCGCAAAGTTAGAAATAATACGAAATGTTGAAAATCATCACTTTTGAAAATAGAAAAGTTAAAATACATGTTGCTTCAAAACTAATTATCTGCTTTAAATTAATTGAACTTTCTCATTTAACTTTGTGCATGAACAAAAGTCCATTAACCAATAAGATGAAATATTTTATATTTTATCAGATAAGATATTATTATTACATATTAAATTAATAGCACATTAAATATGAAAATAATGTAATTAAATATAATTAAAAATTTTGAGGCTCAATTATTATGAAATGTATTTTATGATAAAAAATTAGAAGAAACTAAAATTTCACTCAAATCTAATCGAGTAATTATTGCTTTTAAAATTTTCATTGTAAAAAGCTTTTTTATGTGTGTTTGCATTTAATAAAAATTGTTATTTTACAATTCTTTTATAGTTTTTGTTAATCATGTACATGAGAGGGAGAAAGAGAAAGAGAAAGAGAGAGAGAGAGAGATAAATTTTTGAAAAACACAGAGAGAGCCGAGTTTTTGGCAAAAAAGCTATTTCGTCGCATAGTTCGTTATAAAAAGCGTTAATGGACTAGCGTAAACTACATCTTTTCCGGTCCAGCGAAAGGATTTTAATGGCTGACTATACGCGCGGCTGAACTACTGACGCACAAAATCGATGCATATATGGCACGAATAGTATGTTTAATTTGTGACAAACTAAATTTATATAATAAATAATATCTTTTTATAGTGAATAAAATGTTAAAATTAGTTTATTGCTAAAATAAATACTATTTCATATGTGTTGGATCTCTTTATAATGAATTAAATATTCATGTTTATTATGAGTTCAATGAGCAATGTATTAAATAAACGCAAGAATAAAATATCTAGCATGAAGAGGCAATTGAGGGTTTGTATAAATATATAAATATATATATATAAATGTAATCACTCGACCATAATTTGTGCGGTTTTATCGTTAATAGACCCTGATAATATTAAGAGAAAATGTAAAGGCGATTTTATATACGTGATTCTCCCATGAGTCTCTACTTCCGCGAATGTTTCAGGCGTGATCCTCGGGGCGGATACTCCGGTATAAGATAATCCTGCATAATATCGGAGCTTGCCAACCTTTAAAATCCAAGTACCAAGGCGCAGCCGTGAATAATTCGCTGCACGCGCGAGCGTCGTTAAGTTGCAGCATCGGGAATCTAATGATCTCTATACAGGAAAAGCTGTCGTCGACGTTGGATCGTGTGGAAATTACGAGAAAAAATATTTGAAAAATGCAAAATTGCGAGGCAGTAATTTTATCCTTTGCAATATACATTATATCGATCTAAGTTTAATTAATATTTTTATACATCAGCAATTGAATTATTTAAATTATAATAATAACGATCTAACATCTGAAAAAATAGTATAAAAAATTGACTATTGCAAAGTAAAAGCTAAATTGATACAACTTTTGTTGATAATTCGAAGCTATTTACTTTGGCTATATTTTCGCAAATTATTTAAAATTCGTTCTATCAATTTCTCACGAGATATAGCGCGTTTCATTGGCGTTTTATTATTATTTCTCCTCCGTTATCGACCTCTCAACGATACTAATTCTTTCTAAGCTGTCACAGACGAGACTCATGAGCCGTTAAAATTAGAACGCCCTAACGGGGAGTTTCGCAGAATCGCATTTTCTGTGGGGTCGTTCAATTTCACCGTGGCCATCCATTACGCTA